AGTAGAGTGCAGAAATCCCACGGAAATCAGTGGAATAAGTCCCACAGCTTTCTCAAATTTAAGGTGATATATTTATGGCACATTGTCTATGGGGAAAAATTAATCTCAATGAATTCTACTGAGCTTACAGGTATTCCTTGCATAACGACAGTAATTGGGACTGATAACTCTGTTGCTGAGCAACGTGGTTGTAAAGCACAATGTCATGTGACTGCGCAGACTTATGACGACAGTTGCAGCAGTTCTAGCTGTCGTTGTTAGGTGAATCCCACATGGTCATTAGATGCGGCATTACATGATTGCCATTTGTGACCTCCTGCCAGCTTCCCCGTTGACTTTGCTTGTCCAAAGCCAGCAGTGAAATCACAAATGGCAATCACGTGACTGTTGGATGCTGCGATTGTCATAATTGCAAGCCAGTTGCCAAGCACCCAAATCACGGTAACATGATTGTGGGGATGCTGTGGCAGCTGCAAGTACAAGAATCAGTCGTAAGTCTCCTCATTCAGCACCGTTGTAACTTCAAATGGTCACTGAATGAGTGGTCACTGAACTAGGACTACCTGTACTTCAATATGTAGTATGTAGAGAACTGTAATACTAATCTGGATTTATCCCATATTTGTTATAAAGTCCCATCTATTAACTCCCTACACATTTCATGGGAGATAACATTGATCATATTAAAGGAACTAGAGGCAGTGAAGATTGCATCAGCCCCTTCTTCCACTTCTTACTGCCCTCCAGCAGAAGTTTGGTGCTATCCAGTATTATCTTCAACCAGACCTAATCACAGGATAAGACCTTGTACTGTCAGGAAATGTGCATGGACCATATACCAGGTTTCCAGTAATGGCAAACAAGAAAGCTTCCTGTTACATACTGCATATGTGCTGGAACAGGTTGAGGTGTCTTTTTTTCTTCTATAGCCAATATGGATTGCAAATGAGTTGGTTTAAGTAAGAAAGCTGCATCTTTCTCCCCAACCTTAAGAAAAACTTGAGTTGCCAGCATTTCATTTCTTTTCTTTCTTTTTCCCCAACTGGCTAAGTCAGCATTTTTCTATCTCCAGGCCTGTCATGGGAAAAAGTGACATCTGCAGATTTCTGCTTACCGCATCACCCCCAAAGCACAGAAATATTGATTATGTATGTGTGAAATAATCATGAATAACAGATGATGCCGGTTAACTGCTGTGGTATGAGGGAAGCTTTGAGCACAGTGGCTGGTTATGCTGGTTGAAACTAGTAGTGCAGTTCTATATGCTTCTTCTCAGAAGTAAACTCTGTGGAGTTTAAATGTATATGTTCAGTAAAACAAATGACTACAATCTAAAGAACTAAGGTTAGGGATCTATTACTCCATGAATGAAGTAATCTTCCTATTTTTCTTTCAAGATACTATCATTTCTGCAATTTTAACATGAGGAGAAATTATTTAACAGATTTAGTAACTTTTTAAAAATTTTCCCATTAATAAAATCAATTCGTATTGCTGAACTTCAGGTGGTCCTTTCCACCACCACTGGAATATCTTTTCCTACCACTTTCCACAACTTTGCTGTTTTCCTAATAAATTGTGTGGGCGGTGGTAAATTCTTTTTTGACAAAGTACGGTGCTTCTTTTCCAGATGGTTCTGAAAACAAAAATAACCAGTGAACAGCTTCATCATTTAGAAACAATGCAGAAATGTATGCCTGAATGTTTGCTTTGTTCACTTTTTACCAATAGTATTTTTGTACATATTGTTTCTTGAATGCTAAAAAAACCCTTTTGTACACATTTATTTGGCATGTTCCAAATTGATATTTTCATCTTATAGTGATGAATTTCTCATATATCCTTAGTTAAAATTAGACAAACAGAAGTTTTGTTTTACTGACTTAACCAAGAACTAAATAAACCAGTCAGTGCTTTCTCCTGAAGCCAACATTGTATAGACATAATGTCTTCATATCTCCAAATCCCGATCCTGACATATTTTTAAAGCTGCACATACCCAAATATTCTGAACATGGCCAGCTTGACACATATTTACTGGGAAATAATTTTAATTAAAACGGGAAATGTCATAAGCCCATTAAGGACAACTGTTTTAGATTTTATTCATCTACTATAATGTTTGTGTTCTTGGAAATCAGATGATTTGCATAATAGAGAAAAAGCAATTAGAAGATTGTCAGACCTGCTGGCTGACAGAAAATTAGACATCCTTTATCTATCAGATGATCTCACAAAACAGGACTGTTTCTCAGCTATTAAAGATAATTGATAGAATGGTTTCATAATCCAAGTCTCTGGTAGCAACGTCTGGAGAGACAGCCAGGGTCTTTGACTTTCATGTATTTCTAAAGCCTTCAAACAACAGGGCTAACGAAGTGCAGTTTGCTGTTTGTGCAGGAATTTAAAGGGCAGGGGGATAAAGTTTTGAAGGCCCTTTAATGTCACAATTAGAAGACCTTCCAACAACTGATGATACTTGAAGGTTGCCCTCTGTTCATCTGCCATAAGGGAAAGAGTTGAATCAAATAGTATACAGCAGAATATGTAGTCCCCCTGGAGATTCAGCATTATTGACCTTCTCTTATTATACAGAATGCATAAAACCTTTAGGTGTTTTCTGAAGCACCATATGCGAAGTGGTTCCCTTCATGTTCTTGATGAAATATAGAGTCTAGAAGATTTCTTGGACTTTATAACAAAATCATGCAAATCAAGTAGGCATAGACCTAGGCCATCATTCTTTTAAAATGATATCAAAATTGGCCCTACTTGTAATATTGCAAGGCATCTTACCATGGTAAAAAGAAATATAGAGGAAATTGGTTGAGTTGCTATAGTGATAGAGAAGCACAAGAGGAAAAGTAGAAGAATATTCACGCTGAGGTGCTAGGAAAAATAACTTCTTGCTGCCAGAAAGAATGACAAGACAAACAGAAGAACCACCTAAAAACAAGGAGGAAGACCCAGAGACAAATCAAGGATCAGGGAAGAGAAAATAGTGGGATTTCTGGAGTGAGTGAAAGAAGTGAGTGATTCAAACAACTGAGGAAAAGGCAGAGACAGGAATCCAAAAGAAACAAAAATGATTGGGGGGAATGCAATCCAGCTGCAGGAGAATCAGTCTGATTTTAAGGACTCTGCTCATATATTAATACAGTGACAGTTCAGATGTAAAACCAGACCACTGCCTAACATCACCAGAACAAGCCACAGAGCGCTTGGCCTTGAACATTTTTCTTCTTGTCTGATGTGAAGAAGGCATGGAAAGCATTCAACTCCATAATATGATCAGGAGAAACAAGCCAATTTTCTATTCCATGAGGTGAAAACTGCTTTGCTCATGCAGTAATTATCCTGGAAAGCCAGTATCTCTAAGTTTGCAGTCTATGACTTTGTGATTCTACTTTTCCTTGACCTCCTTGATGCAATCGTGACCTGCCAAGCACGCTAACCCATCTTTCTTTGCCAGTTCCTATTCAGCAAGGCTTCTCCATCTTACTGTTCTCCAAAACTGTTCAGGGGTACTAACTGCCTGACCCTAGCTGAATGGGAAAAGCTAAGCTAGGATTTTATGCATACCCATAAGTAGTCCCACGCATTTTCAGTACTTCAGCTCAACCTTTATTATGTGCAGAGTGCCCTTTCCAGCTACTGAATAATGCCAGCTAGAAGTACTGTATATACTGTATTTTTCCGTCAATAAGACGCCCCCATGTACAAGACGACCCCCACTTTTCCAACCCAAAATTAAGAAATCAATATTTTAAAGATAGTGCAGAACACATTTTTATTTAGTAATTAGTTAACATTTACCTGATACACTCGGTGGGAGGAGGTCCAAACCGTCTCTCTGGAGCTCTATTTCCATGCTCTTTTGCATAACTGATTACATTCAATCACGAGTGAAACTGCCGATAGCTTGTCTCTGCAAACAGACTTCCTCCAATTGGTTTGTTCAGCATCAGCTGACGTCAGTTACATAAGGCTCGTGATTGGAGGAAGTCTGTTTGCAGACTCAAGCTATTTCACTCATGATTGGAGGCTAGCAATAGGAGGAAGCCTCTTTGCAGAGACAAGGTATGGGCAGTTTTGCCACCACGTGGTTCCCTCCTCAGCTGACTTCCTTGAATAAGACGCCCTTCAATTTTTAGCGTAAGGATTTTACAAAAAAGTATCGTCTTATAGTCGGAAAAATACGGTATATATGAAATTTAAGAAAGTGGTCTTTCCATATCAAAAGCCAGTTGAGTAATGGTGGCCCATTTCTCTTCCTTTACACACGCACAGCAGAAACATATGTGTGTCTTCCAGTACAGAAATGCAAATGAATAGAAATAGGATCTGGAAAAGGCAGGAAAAGGGCAAGGGACAGAGCCAGGCACTGAACCAATTTTGAAAGGAAAAAGGTCATTTGGAATATGTGTAGGCTTGCCGGTAGCGCTTTTTGTCAACTCCTTAATCCAAACAAAGATGTGCTCCAAAGCACCATTTCCCCTTCAGATCTGCTTCCGTGCACTGCCCTCATTCATAAGAAGTGAGATCACAGAGTACATCATTTAGGAATAATAATAACCCTAACCCTAACCCTATGCAAAAGAGAAAGGAATGACAACATAGGAAGAGGGCAAGTTTTGCTTTACTCTGGATGAGCAGTCAGTTTCCCACAGTCTTATTCTCTCTCTTAATTGTTTATCTCCGAAAACAGCCAGGCTAGCTCAGAGTGGCATCAATTTTGTGATTCCAAAAAACTGATGATTTCATGTACTTAAAATTAACGTAGGCTTAGCTTTTTAAATAAATGAAAAAGAAATGAAATAATGAATGTCAGCCAAGCTCTTTTTTGGATTTTTATTTTTAAAAAAGCATCAGTGAAATCCTTGTGTTTTTTCTGACTGAAAACATTAGGACAATCAGTATTTATTGAAAAGAATTTTATAATATCTCTAGGTTACATTTATAATGAATGTTCAGACACTCACCATTTTTGATCCTCTTCTCTAATGAGTACTATTAAGAGAACTCTGCTGGAGTTTTTTGGTAATATTTTCTGTAATATTTTTATTCTTCTCCTCTTCTTTGTTGTCAGATCCAGCCTTTGATTTCTGTTCTGCTCTGAACCTCACAGACATTCTACTTGATGAATCTAAACAAGCAGGAGACATAATAGTCGTAGGAATACGTAAAACATTTCAAATTCAAACCATTTTGAATCTGAAAGGGGGCTATTTCAATCATTTTGGAAGCGTTTCAAGCTCAAAACATTGTTTTGTACTTGAGATGGGGTTATTTCAACCACAACATTTTTGAAATGATTGAAACAGTCCATGTGGCATTCGAGACAACTATTCTACATTAGAAATGTGGCATTTTGAACTCATGACTGTTTCAGATTTGCAATGTTTTGCACATGCCTGGTACTATGTGAAGAATGAAGTATTGTCAGTTTCAGGATTATTGGTGTAGGTCCATAGAAACTCAGATTGTATATCATTAGGAATGTTGACTTATTTTTGTTAACAAGTGTCTCCTCCCCCTGCATGGCAAGCCAGTTTTTGAACTTAAGGGTGCTTTCAAAGGCAATGTTTGATTCAAGATTGGGGGATCACCATTCCCAAAAAGCACCAGTTGGCAGATACCTAATGCATTATTATTGATCCTTTGAATTTGACATTGTTTAATCAGGATGCAGTTCAGTAATCAAATGCCACAAAAAGACACACACTGTGGGGAGACTTCCTGTGAGGGCCATGGTGAGCTGACGTCCTGCTCGTTAGCGGTACAGCTTTGCAAGGAGAATCGCGGCTGGATGCTGGATTTGGACCAGCTAAATTTCTCTAGAAGAAGGAGAAATCATTGAGATTATCCATGTGACTCTAGACAGCTGCTACTCATGAGTAGACTGTGGAAACTGCCATTTTGTGGTCATCTTATGAGAGGAGGGGCTGGGAGTTGGGATTTCATTAAACTTACACTCGCAAAGCAGCCTTTTACAAACATTAAGCTTGATTGAGCCTTATTTCTTAATCATTTTTTTGGATTTGGATTATTAATTTTTGTTTGTTTGTTTGTTTACTGGAGAGATTAAGACCCTTTGAACCAGCAAGGTTTTACTGTATTCATCGGGTAAGTTTCCTCCTCCTTAAGGGACGATGGTGTAAATTCGATGTTAAAAGTTTTGGAAATCTATGATTTCTTGAACTATATCGCAAAAGGGTGCTTAGTATATGGATTTGGAAAGTTAACAATGGGTTAAGGGGCCAGAAGGATTTGGAATTATAGCTTTGAATTATGTAGAAGATATTTTCTCATGAGAAAATGGTGACTGTTGTTGCTTTTATAGGATAAGAAGGTTTTGGTTGTTTTTAGGATGAGACCTTGAAGGTTGGACACTAGAGGGAGCTAGAGGATAAGGAATATGGAGAATATCTATACAGGTAGTCCTCCGGATAAGAACACCTGGGTTACAGACTACCTGTAGTTAATAACAGAGCCTATTGTAGCAAAATTTGAGTTAAATACCCAATGATTCGAGTTACACAATGGTTTGAGTTCATTACACTATACTGTTTATACAGTATTATACAATAATACTGTTCCGGCTTATATATACATTCAACTTAAGGACAGACCTTGGGAATGGAACTCGTTCTTAAACTGGGGACTACCTGTATTGCAAATTTTTGAATATCTCTCTATTAAGCTTCTTAATAGAATGGATCAATTGCTTGACACGATGGACAGAATGTGTGGTTATGAAGTTTTAGAAACACTATACTGTTTATACAGTATTATACAATAATACTGTTCCGGCTTATATATACATTCAACTTAAGGACAGACCTTGGGAATGGAACTCGTTCTTAAACTGGGGACTACCTGTATTGCAAATTTTTGAATATCTCTCTATTAAGCTTCTTAATAGAATGGATCAATTGCTTGACACGATGGACAGAATGTGTGGTTATGAAGTTTTAGAACAAGACAAATTGCAATGGATGTCTATGAAATTACTTGAAAGGGGGACTTAAATGTAACACAAATGGATCTGATGGATGACTTATTCCCTAAAGGACATGTACAGATATTAAACCAAGGAATTGATTTGGATAATTTTTTTCTTACTGGATATACAAAAGAGCTCTGTTAAGGGTCTGAAGGAGTGACAAACAAAAGGATAAATGTATTGGATATAGCAAAGAAACTTGTTGAAATTCTGAAATATTTCTGCCTTGAAACACAGATGACCGGCAAACTTCTTTTGGGACTCTCTCTGAAGGGGCTAAAGAATATTTTTAAAAACTCTGGGAAGGAATAAAAGGTTGGTTTGTTCAATCAGGGCTAAAAGAGGAAAATAGTTATATCTGATTGCTCTTACTGGACTTTTGCTGACAAAGAACAGTTGACAAAGCATTTGGATTTTGTTTTTTACTTAAGAGTTGAGCTATGGGGTGAAGAGAGGTTATGTTGTATTTAGAGATGGTGATAGGCTATTAAATTTGTCTTTACTTGCTGGGATGAAAGAGGAAGTTGCTTCTTTTTTTCTT